GGGGGGGGGAGATGCTGTTTCTTTCTCTCCCTGCCGGTCTCCGCAGCTTTGCGCTCAGCCCCAGCGCCTCCTGCCCCCTGATCGCTTTTTAGCGGCCCTGGCCAACCTCCCTTTGTTTTGTGTCCCTCTCCCTGCCCCATGATAAGTTTCAGTTACCGAACAGAGACACCCCCCTGCGCCCCACAGCGGGTGGCCGTTGATTGAAATGCATTAAAGCATCTGATCACTACTCGGGGTACGGATAAAACATACCCTCAGCCCCAGCGCCTCCTGCCCCCTGATCGCTTTTTAGCGGCCCTGGCCAACCTCCCTTTGTTTTGTGTCCCTCTCCCTGCCCCATGATAAGTTTCAGTTACCGAACAGAGACACCCCCCTGCGCCCCACAGCGGGTGGCCGTTGATTGAAATGCATTAAAGCATCTGATCACTACTCGGGGTACGGATAAAACATACCTAGGTCAGCTGGGGAAAGACTGGCAAAAATTAAACCTTACAATGGTTTGGGTAGAGTGGCCAGACACCAGTGTGTGTTTCTAGCCACCTAACTGAAACCCAACATGATTCATTTCGATAAGGTGGTGCATTGCTGATGCTGAACCTCCCCGTGCAGTATTATTGTTTTCTTCAATAATACCCATGCCAGAGCTATCCTTTGGTCTGTGTAGGAGACAACACACCCTACCAGCAACCACCAAACCTGTCCCTACTGTCTTGGGAGAGGATTCCTCTCCCTTCCCTCTTCAGGGTGGGAAGCATATAGTATCAGCCTCTCCCAGTTATCCTACTTGTCTTTTCCCATAGAGGGGTAGGGCTAAGTACATCAACCTAAGCTTTTTCTCTATTAAAGACAGATGTTGTATTGGCAAGACAAAGGGAATAAGTGTTGCTAAAGTTGGAATAGGAATGTTTCTCACTGATAATTGAGTCTCTAGATTCTCTGTGCCTCCCATTGTTTAATTTTCATTCTATGACTAGTTACCAAATACTGAGATTTGTTTTTCTATTAAGATGAAGGATTTGGGGGCTGAAGAACAAATGAGCAATGAAGCTTTCTGGCTCTTCAAGCAATTAAATCTACATTTGGAGCAAGAATGGAAATTTCAACCTCGGGAAAAGGGGCTGAGCCTAATTGAGTGTACCACCGAGGTGAGCAGGAGGAGAGAGCTCTAAGGGGGAAGAGTTTATTATTCATGAGAGAGAGAGATTTACACAACTAGTTTTCATTGCCATAGATCTACTGTATGTCCTACTGTAGTTTTATGCTAGAGAATTGCAGTACGTGAAATTAAATAGTAAAGGGATGCTGTTCAATGTGTTTCTATAAAACCTAAATTTTCTGTTAAATTTGTAGGAAACTGCATACCAGTCGAAACACTTTTTTCTACGTAAACAGCCTTTTCATGTGCTTGAGATATTTTTACTAAAATGAATACATATTAGGTGCAATGAACTGTTTTTAAATTCTAATACTTAATAGATAGTTCCATTAATAAAAGAACTAGTTAAAACAAGGTATTGTGCATTCATAGCCTTAATTGTATATTAAATAGAGCGTTCTTGCTCAATTCTGAAGTCAGAGTTACTATTGGTTTCACTTTTAACTGCAGTATTTAGGCCCTGCACTGCGCTAATGCATAAAAACCAGAATGTAAAACTCACTACAAGTGAAACATCATAGTTTTTCTTTGTCAAAGCAAAGGAAATATATAAAGATAAATAGTGAAAAATAAAGTATTTGACAAATTTTCAGCTTTAATAATCTCAGACCCCAATTTAGAGAAGCCATAAAATTTGGATCTGTGCCCATCCACAAGCTGCAAATTTTTGTAGGATTCTAGGGATACTTTTTCAAGTTGGAGTCTAAAGCCCTAATCAAATGGTTCCATCTGGGCAGACTCCCACCAAAGTCTTTCAGATTCTGTCTGCTCCCCTTAGCAGGTTCCGAACTCCACTAACTTCAATATGAAGTAAATACCTTACATTAAAATAATTTTTTCACCTATTAATAGTTCTACCTTAATTGTGTGTATTCACATAGAAATGTTGGAGTCTTGTGGATTTTAATGATATGCCCAAGTCGTAGTGCTTTGTCTTCAAAATACTTTACAGACACCTAAACACTTTTTGAGGTTGTAAACTACTTGTGGTATCTTGACAGTAGGCAGTGGAGGGAAATGGGCATCAGTATATTTAACCTAAGACATGTAAAGTGCCATTCCATGCAGTTTAATATTTTATCTATGTAGAACTAACCAAATTAGCTTTTCTCAACTTTAGCTGAATATGGAATTATTTTAATTAGACACTATATAAAGAGGAATTTTGTTGAGTAATCTGTATAATCACAGAGGTATTCTTATCTGTCTATGAATTATGTGGTTGCAGTGGTCACTCCACTTAATACAAACAGGGCTCATAATGGGTCTAATGTTTGCTTTCTGGTAGAGAGTAGAAGGAACTCATTTTCTGTGTTCTTTACCTATGCCTTGAGGTCAGGACTTGTTCTGTTTTATATACATTTTTTGTAGCGATTATCTTTTAGAAACAAATACGTATTGTCAGGGCTTGACAAACCCCGGTGAGAGCCACTTGCCAGCCCTGCACTGCGCATGCATGAACCGCCGGTGAACGGGGCTCACAGAGCGACCGGCTGAAATCTACTTGCCATGGGCGAGTAGATTCAGAGGTTTGTCGAGCCCTGCATGTTGTAAATGTAGTTATACTGGATTTTGCACTATGTTGATTTAGAAGGTCTGGTCTTAGTCCAAACACCTTGGCTTGAAGGCTGTAGGATAGCATCCTTTGTTTGGTAAATTAAATCTACAGTTTTCACAATATCCCTTAAGAGACTATTTGCCATCTACTTACCTACTTCTAAGACAGATGACCTTGGATGATGATACAGTGTTGATAAATGCTGAAATCACTCACTCCATTGCAGAATGAAAACACTCTATGTCCAAGACTAAGAAATGCCAAGGTTGAAGATCTCTGGAGTTTGACCAGTTTCTTTGGATTTACAACTGAAACATTTGTCCTAGCTGTCAACATTCTGGACAGATTCTTGGCTCTTATGAAGGTATCTTGAGTGGGGAAGTAGTATTACCATGAAAAATATTGTTGAATATGCACACTTCCTTTTAGTTTTGCATTCATGATACTTGCTTTGATCTAAAGTAAAATAACAATAAAAATTCTTTAATAGTGAATAAATGTAGTACCTATCTCTTGGTTAGCAACATCCTGTAATAGCTCCTACTTCCTAGTTCAGAACTGGGTAAGTCACTTAACAGAAGATTCTCAGAGTGACTATTTAAAGTTATACCATATAAATATTCAACAGAACTATGCATGCATTAACAAAAAATATGGTTCAGGTTTTTGCCCTTAAGTCTGTACTGGTCATCAAATATAGGAAATGAAGAGACAAAGATGAGTCTCAGTATCTTGCAAACTAATGTATTGAGAGCTCTTTATAACTAAGGTCAGTCTGTGTAGTATTGCTAAAGTCCAGTATAACAGCTTCAAGAGTACATTGAACAAGTATTTTCAGTAGAGGGTGCTCAGTTATGGAATTAATTTTGCAGAGGCCATGGGGGAAATTATGCATTTTAGAATATTGCATTAGTGACCATTTTTTCCTCCTAGTAATCAGTTGTACTTATTCATTTATTTTTGTTTGTTCCTTCATTTTGTTACTAGCAAAGTGCTGTCAGTGTATCTTTGCAGTGAAACTGCCATAACCAAGTGCATTTTATGTATAGGATTTGGCTTAGGCATCATGTAACAGTAAATACAGTTTAAACCTTTTACTTATGTTTATATTGTAGTAATGCCTAGAGGTCTCAACCAGGTTAAATTCCTGTTAGTATAAATATATGTGATGGTCCTGCTTGTAAAAACATGGAGCCTAAAATATGAAACACTTTGTATTTCTGGTGTGACTTTAAAATGTGATACTTCCACTGTAACATGTTGTAGGATCACCAGGTCATCACTAGTGTAACAATTGATAGTCTTTCTTTTTTCCAGGTGAAACCTAAACATTTATCTTGTATTGGAGTCTGTTGTTTTCAATTGGCTGCCCAAGTTGTTGAAGAGGAATGCAATATTCCGTCCATTCATGATGTCATCCGGATTAGCCAATGTAAATGCACTGTTTCTGACTTAAAACGGATGGAAAAAATAATTTCTGAAAAACTGCACTTTGAATTTAAAGCTACTACTGCCTTAACCTTTTTGCACTTGTATCATACTATTGTACGCTGTCATACCTCAGAAAGGTAAGTGTAATTATATACCATATCTCCAATGCTCTGTCATTGTTATACAAACTTTTCATCCCTTTAGCAGTCTTGTGAAATTCTGCCATTAGTGTAAAAATAGCTCTCTTTTTATCTGTCTTTTTTTTTTCCTGAGTACAAATGTTCTTTCCTTATTTGTAGGAAAGAAGTACTGAACCTTGACAAATTGGAAGCACAGCTGAAAGCTTGCAACTGCCGATTAGTCTTTTCTAAAGCAAAAGTATGTAAAAAAAATATATTTAATAATCCATAACTGGATTAATCCATAACTGGATTTTGAATCCTGTATGTTAAATTTGGTGTTTTTGTTGTACTTCTAGCCATCCATATTGGCCTTGTGCCTTCTCACTTTGGAAGTTCAGACTTTGAAATCCATTGAGCTGTTTGAAATTGTTCTGCGTGTTCAAAAGCATTCAAAGGTAAACTATATTTTAAACCACTTGTTTAAATGTTGGCTTTAGCACTGAATAATTAAGTGCTACTTTCCCAACCTGAGCCTCCTGAGGTGTTGGGTGATATTTGCACCCCTCCGTTGGTATCCTGAGGTACTGGGGCACCTGGTCAGGCGCCTTCACAACTTAAGTGATATGGATGGTTGTATGTAACTTTGATTCACAGAAAATCTCACGTGAAAAAATCCCAATACCATGTAACATATCTTACCACACAGATACATTTAAATGGGTGTACACTTTGTGCTCTCTCTACCAAGAAGCAGCCTGATAGCAGGGTCATATTGGATACCAATATGATTAAAAACCTGTTAAATTCATCTTATTCAGTCCACTTCAGTATGTGGATCCTAGGATGTTTCCTATTTATCCTGCTTCTTATATGGGAAGGGATTTAAACATTACTGTTAAAATGTGGTCTATGTAAATCTGTGAGGGTTTTTATGCTAATTGTTTAATATAGAAAATGTGAAAGCCACAGTCTTAAAAGCATTAATGAAATTAGCCTAGCTAAGTGCTTTTGTTTAACTTTAAATGTACAATAAAACCAAGACGACAACAAGCCTACCCAGATTTATTTAACCTCGAATAAGTGTTCCCAGCCCTGAAGGAATTATATCATGTTTCCTAGCTCTGAATAGTTATGACTGACACCTTTTAAAAATCATTGATACTATACAATTTTAATGTTATTAATATGCATTAAATAGTATAGTTTCATTTCATGGAAAATCTTGTGATCCAGGGTCACGAGTTATGTTGGCATCTGTTGTGAGGCAAGGAATAATTGGCTCATTTGCTTAAAACCTTCCTTTAACTTACAGGTAATATGAACTTTATTTGAACTGTCAGCTTCACACTGTATTGCACAAAATTGTCCTGGAGCATGCTAAGGGAGCTGAGTTTGAAAATTTTAAAATTGACAACGTTAGTATCCCTTACCCAATCATACCACTTCACATTTACACAATGTGAAGTGCTATGACTGTTTTCTTAAAGGAAGAAGGAAATTGTTCTAGGTAAGATTCAGACTGTACTTGGAATAATGTAGCTTGGAATTTCTAGTTTTGGCCTCTTGAAATCATGACTTACCCAGAAATGTAGGAGATGTTTTGTGTTCAGTTGGGAATTTTATAGACTTCCAGAAAAAGCTCTTAATACTTTGAAACTGGCCTTTGTGTAACCCAGCAGGCATTGGTTGAAATGTGCAAATAAGAGGCTAGACTTAAGTAGCTATCTACTAAAACTTTTTTAATACTTTAATTAGCAGGACTAGTTCAGATATATAAACACTAATTACCTTGTTTACCTTGGTGACAAGGTACTACTTTTCTGCACCTATGATGAGGGTTTGATAGTTTACACTCACACTCATAGCCTAACGTTTGAAATTTTTCCATCTACAGATTAATCTTTTTATTCAAAATGTGTATTATATACAGAAAATATTTGGAACTGTGCCAGTCTTCCAAAAGTGAAAAATGCTGTGACATTTTGGTCCATTACTTCACTAGCATATTACTTGACTTACATGCCAGTGTGTTGGGAAAGGTGAGACAGTCTCATTCTAGACTGTGCAGTAGAACTAATTAGATGTTTCTCACTTTTATCTTTAAGATAAGTGATAGGGACCTACTCTTCTGGAGAGAGTTGGTTTCAAAATGCCTAGCAGATTATTCTTCTCCTGAATGTTGCAAACCAGATCATAAGAAATTGGTTTGGATTGTTTCAAGACGTACCGCTCAGAATCTACAAAATAGTTACTACAGTGTTCCTGAGTTGCCAACTATACCAGAGGTTGGATGTTTCAATGAAAGTGAGAGGTAAATTACATTCTTACAGTGGTGGTTTTCACTGACTTTTAGTTTCTGAAAGCATTTTAATGGCACAGTCATAAAAATAGATTTGGTTTAGTAGTTCTTATTTGCATGAACAGTTTCTTGAAGTGTAGTCTTCCTGGTTGCAGTCCCAACTGTCTTAACTTCAAAGCTATATATTCCTTGGGTAACTAGAATATTTACAAAAACTGAGGAGTCTTGTGGCACCTTAAAGATTAAAAAAAATGGGCATAAACTGTCATGTTCTGGAAACACACTCTGTCGCGTGCAACAGAAAATCATGGTTTCCCAAGCAGTTGAAGCCACATGTCAGGATCTGACCTAGCAGCTCCCAAAAATTTAAGGACTGGACGCCAAATGTTTATTAAACAAGTAGTCTTATTCTTGGCTTCTTTTGTCACTTGAAACCCAGAAAGGGCGGGGTCTCGGCAGGAAGGGGTGAGGCCGGGGACTAGTCTTTTCTCCAGAGTTGTCTAGTGCTGAAGGCTTTGAATTAAAAACCTAGCAAAGTGCTGCCAGGCTGCTGCTATTTTAAAAACTTGTGGCTCTGGGCCCTGCCTGGGTAGCACCATGACTGGGAGCCATTAGCCATTTAAATAGGAACTGCTGCCTGGAAATACAGTGGCACAGGCAGCAGGATATAAATAGAAAATGGCCAGGTGCAGTCCATGGGCTGGATCTAAGTGTTAGGTGGGCTGGATCCAGCCCCCAGACTGCATCTTGACCAGTGCTGGGGTAGGAGTAGTTGTTGAACAAATGGACTTGCGTAAGCACAGAGGCACACATTTCTAAAATATATAGTAAGGCAGTTTTCCTATTACAGTAAAACTCCAGTGGTCTGGCATCCAATGGTCCAACACTCCTGATGGTCCAGCACCATCTGGAACCTGGAAGTGCTCCGGGCAGCCAGACAATTGGAGCTGCTCTGCCCCCGGCTTCCCCGATTCAGGCGCTGCTGAAACTGACCAGCGGCTGACTTGGGGAAGCCAGGGGCAGAGCACCTGGGGTGCTGCCGGGTTGGTCCTGCAGCGCCAAGGGGCGCATCTCCCCTCCCTCCCCCCACTCCAACCCAGACCCCTCATAGCCCCCCTTCCAATGGTCCAGCATATTTGATAATCCGGCACCCCCTGGGTCCTAAAGGTGCCGGATTATCTGAAGTTTACTGTACATACTGATAAACAACGTGTAACTTTCCTTCATGAGAAGACAACTTTTCTTTCATTTTAAGCATTTTTGCAGTAGTATCTAAAACACAATTGTGCAAACACAGTAGCACAGTCCCTGCTCCAAACATACAGTCTAAATCAACAAGACAGCTACAGTATTATGGGAAAGGCATAACAGGGAACCAATAATGCTGCTCTCTTATGGCAACTAAATTTCAAGCATTGTTTCACAGTTGTGGTGGGTGTCTAATTAAAAGGGAATAGGCAAAATGGAAAGAGAAGGGGGAGAGACATTGAGGGGAGCAAGGTAGGAGGTAAGAGGTGGAGAGAAGGGACCAAACCAAGGGAGGGGAAGGGGTGGTTTTAGAGCAAACAGCCTGGCAGCCGATCAGCACAGGGCAAAGGAAGTCAGGTCAAATTTGTAGAAGAGTGTGTGCAAGTCCTTGGTTTGGCTGTTTCTGCAGCTACTACTACTGGCTGGAGTTTCTAGGGTAGTTTTGCTCCCAGGCCACATGTGGGGGAGACACCATCTGTGTCTGTTCCCAGGACTAGGTTGGGCTTCCTCTGCAGTTTTGGGTCCATGTAGTTGCTTGTGAAGTTGACCCCAGCTGGGCCCATTTTACCAGCTTTTTCTCCTCCACTTCACCTAGTTAGGGACTATTGTTCTTTGCACAGTTTTCTGATGCTATACCTGTAGTTTTAAGCCTTTTGCCTGGCTGGTTGTCAGTATTGAACATTTTAAAGAAACTAGTAGAGCGGTTGCTCTTTTCGCACAACAATATAAATGAAGTGATGTGACAAAGTGCTCAGCTAGTAAGTGGTAGCATAATCATGCTAGTGGATTGAAAACTAGATCCAGCCCTTGATACTATGCTGGGACTTGGGGCATTGGAAGCACAGTAATTAGTAATACAAGTGTTTTCTAATATTTTTAAAGTCTGTTTACCAGTGTAATGAAATTCTGTAGAACTATAGAAGTATGAAGAGCTTGTGAATTTTGTTGGAACCTGCATTTCCCAGCAGTTCCCTAAAAATGTGGGAAACTCCTTGGCTGCCTTCATGTACACTTTTGTCTTCACAGCTTGAGTAAATGACAAATAACTTTCTTCTCTTTCAGTGAAGACTCCTGTGAAGATATGAGCTGTGGAGAAGAAAGTCTTAGCAGTTCTCCTACTGATGTAGAAAGCAACTTCTTCTTTGACCTCAATTCTAAATCTAAGTGGCAAACTCTCAACTGTCAGTCTTAGCAGTTGGATTGCACTAGAATACTGTTTTTAAATGTACTATAGGCTTTCTTGGCAATAATGAGTAGGTAGTATCCAGGCAAGAGTTGCAATGGAATACCTAAGTGCTTATAATGCCTGCCTCTTTTAGAATTCTGATTTAAACGGTTGTTTAGGTGCCCATTCAGCAAAATACTTACACAGCCATAGTCCTGTTGAGGTGAACTCAAATGACGTATATGGACAAGTACTCTGCTGAATTCTGTTTAAAAGCATAATGCGTTGGTATTTCAAATGGTAAAACTGCTTTAGAGTGCATGTGCAATCTTCCAAGAAAAGAGGTTGTGTATGTTCTATTGTAATGATTTCTTTTGGGGCAGGAAGTATTTTAACCAAAATTATATATTTTAATGGTATATTCTAAGGATTTTAAAAGCTTTGCTTTTTAAACTTCAGGATTTCCTTGTTTAATCAGGAGCATGCATGATCTATTTTGAGAGGAATATAGACTCAAATACTTTAGACCCATTCATATGAACGATAGACTAGTATGTATGTGCCAGGGTTTATTTTAGCATTTTCATTTTAAACTAATGCAATGAGCTTGTTTAAAATTTTAGTGTGAACATGTCAATTCATACTATTAGACTAGAAGTATTAACATATTAAACTTAAGTGTACATTCCTTTAAATATTTAACCTTTGTAGTTTTCAGTATTCTTTCACTGTTAAATGACTAAATCCATAATCAGACTGGTTGCATGCTTATGTAAAAGCTGTTAGTGCAGGAAGAGTTGGTATTGTGCAGAAATGTCAGGTAAATGTGAAGTTGATAAAGTGGTTGATATAATGACAGAAACTTGGTAACTTTTTTGCATTTGTTAAAACACATTAGTATGAGTGCATTTCACTGGAGAGTATGGACAGCTACCAAATGAGAACGTTTACTCTGCAGATGTAACGGTATTTGTGTGGTAGTGCCAATGTAAAAATGAAGGGGCAAAAAATAAGCTAAGTTTGATAGTTGTAGAAATAAACATTTCTAGAATGACGTGAAGATGTGAATGGTGATGTAAGTTTCTAAATGTTTTATGCTCTGTTTTATAAACGTATACAAAAGTTTACAAAATGTATAAAAAAATGTAAATTTAAAAAATGTACAGAAAAATCTTAACTTTAAATAAGCAAAAAGTACTGTATTTTTTTACATTGTGTATGTAACTTTGTGTAGGTAGCTTGCATGTGGATATTAATTTATTGTGTATTCTGTATCATACAAATACTGTCTATTGAAGACTTGCTTTTTCTACAACATCCAACAAAGATATTTTCTGAACCCAATTTCTGTTAAAAGGGTATAAAACCTACTGTTTTGCTTCAATTCAGAATACAAATAAAGCAGTTGTATTTCTATTTGTATAATACTGCACTATGACTTCTCAGTAAAGCTATATCAGCCGCTTTGTACACTGAACACTGGTTTGGGATTGAAACTTTTCGATGTGGGCTACTTAAGGCTTTTCTGAAGAATTTAAAGGAAAATAGTGCCCTTTATAAAAAATCAAGCATATAGATGGGGTCTCCGGTAAGAGCCTAACTAACTGGACTTTGACACGTGCTTTGATTCATGGATTGTAACAGAATTGTTTAAAAGATTTATAAGGGGTCTTGCCAATGATTTTGTTTAACTAAGGTCGGATATAAGCACAAGGACCAATATAAGCTGCATAGGAATTTTTTCTTAGCTGGGAGTCAACAGAAAATTTTGCCTCTCAGATTGACTTGTTTTATTTTGTAAAGGACAAGATGAGAATTAATCTTTGCTCAGTTTTGCCTTAATAGTGCTATGTCTAGCCCAGTAACCTGTCTTCTGACAGTGACCAGTGCCTCATACTTCAGAGGAAATGAACATAACATGGCAATTGAGTGATCTGTCTCCTGTTGTCTAGGTCCAACTTTTGGCTGTCAGTGGCTTAGGAATGCCCAATTGTGGGATTGAATCCTTGGCCTTCTTGATTAATAGCCAGTGATGGACCTTTCCTCCATGAATTTATCTAAATCTCATTTGGCCTCAGCCTACCACTAACCACTGCATCGCAAAATCCTCAAACTTGCACTACTACATATTCAAGATGGAGTTTGCCATTCTGTCCTAGCACTGTAACAATACCAGCTTTGCTATAGTTTCTGCTAGTTAACACTATTAAAGTGATTACTGCCCTGTGCTAGGCTACAATAAGTTCCTTTTTCTCTTACGGTGTAAATATATAACAGTTATGTCACTTAGCCTTCTGAACAGTGTTTTTAGATAAATTAATGCAGATTGCCTATCTCCTAGAACTGGAAGGGACCTTGAAAGGTCAAGTCCAGTCCCCTGCCTTCACACCAGGACCAAGTACCATCCCTGATGAATTTTTGCCCCAAATCCCTAAATGGCCTCCATAACGACTGAACTCTCAACCCTGGTTTAGCAGGCCAATGCTCAAACCACTGAGCTATTCCTCCCCCAAATGGTTCTAGCATTAATTGCAGGAGCTGTCTACTGGCCTGTATGCTTAAACCAAATTATCTAGAATGATAGCATTACAGTTATATGAACTGCCTGTGCTATCAAATGACCAATTTGAGGCACATGGATGTGATCTTAGTAAGTAGGGCTACAACATACACTGACATACAAACAGTAACCATTACAGGTGAGACCCAAATTCAAGGTCCCTTGGTTCCCAGTGTAGTAGGCATCCCCCAAAATCTTTGGCAGGGGAAAATCTCTTCTTACCCATGCCTGACCAGTTCCAGATTCATCGCAGATATGTAACATCCCATAAAATTAGCATACTTGAGCTGACTAATAGATTTTAAGCAACCACTCAAGGGACCAGGAGAATTTGGCTGCCTAAGATACTTGACATTTAAGTGAAATATGGGAACATTCAGGCTTGTGACCTCATGTAATGCAAGAGACTGGGCAATGTAGGTGGAGCATTCAGAAAATTAAGAGCAAACCATACTGAGCATGTGCAAATGATATTTTCCAGTGTTTTATATTTAGCCAAATCTGCATAAGCTTTCAGTAATAGTACAGGGCACCTCTCTGACTCCAGTCTCTTCCCTGATGAGAAGGAAAAAAGCTATTCAACAGAATGTTCAGAATACATTGTTTCATTTATAACGCACTCATAAGATTACCATAATGAACTTCATTCTCAAATACGGTTGTCCAAAAATAATCCTATTCTGTCTTTTTAAAAAAAAAAGTAATGAAAGACCCTAATCTTGACCTAACAAAACCTAAATCTGATCAGTTAGTCAGCCAATGAAAAGAGAGCCTTCTAATTCTAACCTTGATTTGTGTTCCCAATTAATAGTAAAAATAAGGAACAGATCCTAACTTAACTCTTTAAAGTTAGTAATAGAAATGTAGCCGTGTTAGTCTGGTGTAGCTGAAGCAAAATGCAGGACTATGTAGCACTTTAAAGACTAACAAGATGGTTTATTAGGTGATGAGCTTTCATGGGCCAGACCCACTTCCTCAGATCAAATAGTGGAAGAAAATAGTCACAACCATATATACCAAAGGATACAATTTAAAAAAATGAACACATATGAAAAGGACAAATCACATTTCAGAACAG